CTGCAGAGACGCGCAGCCCCTCCTGCTTACACGCTTATAACGTGAAGAAAATGTCCATAATGACGAAAAAAATTTATTTATTAAACTTTTTTTGTTTGTAATTTTTTTATAAAATATGAGCGACGGTTAAAACTTAACCCCTATAAGAAATGGAAAAAGAAGAAAAAGAAGGAAAAAACAAAATAACAAGGGTGAATGAAATAGAAGGTAACGCGCTAAAGAAGATAACAAGTGAGGAGTCACAATTAGAAATTTGACTAAAAAAGAAGAAGAAATCAGGAGAGAGGATGAGAAAAGCGGAAAAAAGTGACTGGATGTTTAAAGCGAGCAAGTAAATGCAAAGATCACCGAAAACAAAAGTAGAGGTACAGAAAGAAAAACAAAATGAAACGGGAGGGACGAATAAAGAACATGACAACAAAGAGGAAGAAGCAAAAAGGGAACTAGTAGAATGAATTAGGTACACTAAGAGGTAAAATAGAAAAATGTATAAAATTCGTAAACAAAAATAAGCAAGAAAATGGAAACAAAAGGAGGAAAAACGTAAGTGGAAAACAAAGGAGATGGAAAAAAAGTAAAGAAGTGGAAAAAATGCTGGAAAAGATGGAAACAATAGAAAGCAAAAGGACAAAAGAAGGAGAGTGAATAAAGGTGGACACCTTGAAGAGGAGAATAAAAAACCAAGAAGAGAAAAATTTGGAATGAAAAGAAAAAAGAGTGTTTATATTACATTCCTATGTAATATAAAAGGTGGAAAATATAGGAGATTGGAGATAACACGAGAGCGCGGATGAAACATCTTTTGAAACAAAAAAGGGCTGAAGTTAAGATACAAAATATGAGAAAGCTAAATGGTGAAAAGGAGGATAAAGGCAAAATGGTATGGGTAGGATTGGAAAAAAAGAAGGATAAGAAAATAATTTGAAAGAGAACGAAAAATCTAAAACAGAGGAACATTTGGATCGTAGATGATATGACATGGAAGAAGAGGGAAATAAGAATAAGGTGGTAGTAAGTGCGGTAAAAGAAACAAAGAAAGAAAAAAATACATGAATGGAAAGTAACACAATAATAATTAAAAGAAAGTGATGGAGATGAGATAAGAACAAGAACCTTTAAAGAAAATAAGATAACTGCAAAAGAAGCAAGAAAAAAAAATGGATAAGAAAAAAGCAGAAAACGAGAAAAAAGGAAGAAGATAAAGGTAAAAGACTTATGGAGTGAGAGAGGAAGGAAAACAGTAAAAAGAAGAGAGGAAAAAAGTTATAAAGTAGCGTTTTGGAATGTGGCCGGNCTTCAAAGTAAAGATAAAGAGTTCCGGGTAGGATTGAAGAATGAGAATATAATGGTATTAATGGAGACATGGATACATAACAAAAAAATAATAGAAGATAGAAGAGATTCTACCGGAAAAATGTAGGTGTGAGGTGCAATGAGTAAAACAGAAAAGAAAACTAAAACAAAGAGAGCAATAGAAAGGATAATTATAGCAGTAAAAAGAAAGATACAAATGGAAGAAAAAAAAGAAGAGTAAACGGAAGAAGGTATAATTATACAAATCATTAGATTAGAAGTTAGGTGAGATCATTAGGTGAGATTAGAAGTAAAATGCTGTAGGATAGTAAGAGTATACTTATATAAGAAAATAGAAAAAAAAGTGGAAAAATTGAAAAATTTGATGAAGAAAAAGTGGGAGAAGAAAAGAAAAGAAAGTCACCAAACAATAAAGTGAAAAGGAAGGAGAAATTACTAATAAGTAGTACTGAGTAGCTAGGATGGTCAATTTGAAACGATGATATAAGAGAAACTAATGATGGAGAGTACACGTCCACAAGACAAAAAGAGGAAACGGTAATAGATTACCATATGTGATGGAAAATGTAGTGTCAAAGAAAAAAATAGAAAGATTTCAAGTGATAAACAAAAAAGACTCGGATTATCATTCGGTGATAGTCTATGTAAGAAGAGAAAAAAAGAAAAAATAGAAATAATGGAAGATGAGGCTAAAAGAAAAATATAATGTGATCAAGAGAAAAAGGACAGGAGTTTGAGAAAAAGATGCAAAAAGTGTAGAAACGGAAGAGAAAAGGTAAGAGATGAAAAGACGAGGAGTGTAAGGAAGAGAAAAAAAATGTGAGACGAAGTTTTAGAAGATAGAGGAGAAAAGAAGATGTCATGGATGGATATAAAAGAAAAAAATGATATATAGAATTATGTGAAAGGAAGAAAAGGAAAAATAATAAAAGAGAGTTAAAGTGAAAGATAAAGAAAAAAGAAAAAAACAATATAGGTATAATACAAAGAAGTGACAGTATTTAAAAATGTTTGTTTTTATTTCTAAAACAATACAAAGATGACAATTGTTTTGAATTGAATCCAAAGATGCATGGAGTGGAAAGGAAACCTAACAAAAGAACAACAATAAGAGGAATGTAATGATAAAGGGAGTAAAAAAGAGAGTGAGATGGAAGAGGAAGAAGAAGAAAAACGAGAAAAAATTATAATGATAAAGAAGATGGGATTAGAAGAAAACTGGTAGAAAATAATAGAAGCATACGTGAATGATGGAATAGAAAGAGAAACGAAAGAATTTAAACATTGGATGAAGGAAAAAAGAGAATTGAAAAGACAATACTAAGGAAAAGATTTTAATGCTACAACAAGTAAAGCAAAAAAAAACTAACAAAGCAAGGAGAAGAGGGAGAATAGGGGAAAGAAAGTTATAGGACGAAATGGGCGAAATTGTCGTCATTCATGATGTCATTTTTGTGCAATACTTTCACAATGATTCTTCTGCAATACTTGCATTAAGAAGAACAAACGCAATCAATGCNATCATGATAATACTTTGTAATATATATTTAAAGATATTAGAAATAAATAAATACACATATGTACATATATATATATTAATGTATACACAGTAATAACTCTAAAATATTTTTAGATACTTAAAAAGAAATGTCAAAATTATATCGCTGATGTAAAATAGAAAAAACTTTATATGAAAAAATAGACTTCATCGACACTATTCAAGAGTAAGAAGTCAAAGTAGCAAAAACATCTCATTGCTTTAATTACATTTACAGGTACACATGTGACTTTTGGTAAGATGTTCTTTATACAAATATATACTAATAAGATTATAGTCGCATTTTATGATTTTGCAATCTGATTCTTTATTGTTGTTTTATATTGTATTTTATAATAGTGGTGTGGCGCGTACCATCGCAGAAATGCTATGGAGAAGATCACGAAACCCAAGATTTTTTTTGCCTAGATTGACGGTTGCACGAGTTCCGTTTGCCTACATCCCGTTAACACAGAAAATGTTTGTGCATAGTCGCCATTGCACGATCATCTTATAAATTAGGTTGAATAATGTTGTTTTATGTGCTATGGTAAAAATGTACATAATGTCAAAAAATAAAAATTTAGTTTTGAAACTTTAACTGTTTTTACCTTTATTTTAAACAACGAGCGACGGCTAAAACCTTTTGATTGTTACTCAGAAAGGTGCCCTTGACAACATATGTCAAGCTCATTAAAATCGGAGGAGGCGTGACCTTTTCTAAATATTTACCACACAAGTAAGAGGTGGAAAAGAAGCTGGAAAAGAAGGAAAGGATAGCAAGTAAAAAGACAGAAAAAAGAAAAGAAACAAAATGAGGACAATGTGGATGGGAGAAGACAAACTTTAATAAAAGAGGTGAAAAAAAACGAGATTAGAAATGACGGGTGGAGAAAATTTTGAAAGACAAGAACTGAAGGTAAAATCAAAACTATGATAAAGCTGAATGATACAATAAAAGCAAAATGATATAGGTAAAAGTGGACAAACAACAAACTAAAAAACTAAGTTAGGAGACACCTAAAAATATACAAAAAGAGAAGATTTGGTTTGCATGATATGACATGGAAAAGGAAAGAAATAAGAAGAATATTGGCAATACTTGAGGTAGCAAAAAAAAAGATATGGAAGGAAACAATCAGAGTTGAGAAAGAAACTGTTAAAGATGAGATAAGAAGGGATAAGCGTTAGAAAGTGTAAAACAACCGGAAAAAAAGAACGGAAGAAATGGAAGAAGGGACAAAAGGGAAGAGAAGAAAGGAAAGAAAATAGAGGTAAAAAACTTAAAGAAGAAAAAAGGAAACAAATGGTAGGATTAAAGAATTATAATATACTGATATAATAGAAACATGGAGAAATACTAAAAAATGGTAGAAACTAATAAAGATTCTGACGGAAAGGTATAGTTGGGTGGTGCAATGGGTAAAAAAAAAAAGTATAAACGGGACAGCAATAAGAGGGATGATAGTGGGAGTAAGAAGAGAGAGAGGGATAGAGAAGGAAGAAGAAGAAAAAAGGAAAAAAAGTATAATGATAAATAAAGTGAAATCAGAAAAAAATGCTGTACTATAATAGGAGTATACGTGATTGATAGAATAAAGAGAAAAATGGTAGACTTGAAGGATTGGATAGAGGAAAAGACAAAAATAGAAAAAAATAATGGGAAGAAATTTTAATGCTAAAATAAGTGAGACAGGAAAATAAAAAAGCAAGGAGGAAAGGAAGAAGAAGGAAAAAGAAGGACACGAGACATGAAAGTGAAAAAGAAGAGGAGATTGCTAATAAGTAGTATTGAGGAGCTAGGATGGTCAATTTGAAACAATAATATAAAAGAAAATAATGATAAAGAATACAAGTGATGAACAAAGAAACTCGGATTATGATCTGGTGATAGTTTGGTGATGTGAGAAAAGAAACAAGAAAGACAAAAAAGAGAAACAAGAGATGAAACTAAAAAGAAAACGATGGTGTGATCAATAGAAAAGAAGACAAAAGGTAAAGAAGGAGACGCAGGAAAGAGAACAAACGTGAAAAAGTGGCAAGAGATGAAAAGAAAATTAGAGAGGAAATGTAAAGGGCAAGAAGTAGGAGTGAGAAAAAACAAAAGAGGATGATAAGTAATTCTTTTCCTAAAAGTCGACCAGGGGGTCGATTCTGTAACTCAAGTGAGATCATTCACTTTTCGCACTTTCATCTCACGCGAAGTTGTTCGCGCGATTCTGTAACGTCGAAGTGAAAATTCGAAATTACTAGATGTGACATAGTGGGGAAAATCGTTTTGTCGAGCTGTACCGTCTTTTTCGTCGTTTTTACGTTACGGCTGAGTTAGACTAGGTTAGTTGGTGATTATAAAAATAATTGAGAAGAAAATGAATGTGACAGAGAAGCAAAAACAAATAATTGTTAATTTTATGAGATCTCATCCTGATTTCGGTAGAGGCAGATTGCGCTATAACCGCGAAAATAAAAGAAAAATAGTGAGTAATTTTATAAGTTTTGTTAGTACATAAAATATTTTTGCAAATACTAAATAATAGAAATAATAAATTGTAAGTAAGAATTATCAATCAATACGTGTATTTTAGGATGAATTATGGAACGAACTCACAGCAACTCTTAATTGTGCAGGATCCGGTCCTCAAAAGTTGTCAAAAGAATGGGCAAAGGTAAATATTTACATGAACTGAAAGTCACATATGATTTAGTGGTATTAATAATACTATAAATTTTATTTGACATAATAATATGACATTAATGGTCATTCTTTTTTTTTTGTAATAGACATGGCGTGACTGGAAGTCAAATTTATTAAAAAGAGTAGCTACATATAAAAGTCATGTAGCAGGTACTGGAGGAGGAGCACCAAAAATTTTAGATACAAGCCCTTCTGAGGATGATTTATTGGAATTTCTGACACCTGAAGCCAGTGGGATGCCTAACATTCCTGAAGGAGGAGCAATTGATGATGATAATTTATTATNACAGAATTGTTTTACTTCAAACACCTTGAAGGAGAATTTCGATTCTCAGAGTTTGCTAGACTTCACTTCTACTTCTTCGACTGCCAAAAAAAATAGGATGCCACAGAATTTTGAGGATTTTTCCATGTGGCAAACCACCAGACCCTCACAGAGTTTGCAGAATTCTTGGAAGAATTCCAGGGAGATGTCGTCCTCCCAGATACTACAAAATACGGTTCCTTCCTGGCAGATCAATGTTGAGGTATTGTATTACTACAGAGTTTTAAATTTATAACATTAATNTTGTTATTTTATACATTTCAGGAAGACTCCTTGGACACCAGTGACGTAATAAATTTTGAGAAAAAGAATCTCCTATCAAATGTGAGTGATAATACATTTCTTTTTAACGCAATGTATTCTTTGCAATATATACAGTAAAGCAGTTTATACAATAAAGGTATGTTGTTCCATTCCAGACATCCTCCAATGTATTTACTAACATAGAAAATGTAAAAAAAAAGACACTAAAAGAGAGAGAAGTACAGTGCATTAATTCCAGTATTAAAAATAAGAGANGTAGTGATGACCAAGGTAACCAACATTAATTACTAATAAGGACTTCTCTCTTGTGTAATACCAACAATATTTCATTAAATTTTGTTCAACATTCTAGTGTTGAAGGGAANTAATATTACTCATAATGATTGAATTTCTTCAGATACTTATAGAAAGATAAAGAAGCAGAACGTAAAACACTTATTTGAACANCACACTTCGGACTACTGCAATATTCAAGAGCGAATGTTAAAATTGAAAGAAGAAAGATTGACTGTAGCCATAGAAGAACTCGAATTTATGAAAAAAGCTCATCAAAAACATACGGAGCTCCTGACATCGTTAGTTGAAAAGGTTAATGAACTAACGAATATTATGCAATCTATTGCTCCGCAATATTTAGAATAAATTTAGAATATAAGAATAAAGTATTTGACATATATTTTGTTGAAATGTAAACATATACTTCGTTGAAATGTAAACATATTTTATTGAAATGTAAACATATTTTATTGAAATGTAAACATATATTAATTTGAAGTGTAAACATATATTTTCTTTAAGAATATAGTATAGTATAAATTTAAAGTATAAGAATAAAGGACANCAAAATAAATAATATAAGACTGAAGTACAAATGTATTTTACATATAAACATATTTTTTATTGAAATATAAACATATATTTTCTTTCGCAATAATGTTTCAATATTATTTCTTTTACAATTCAAAAATACAAATATTAAAATGTTATTTTTATGCAATTTATGTACAATTCGACATTTATATTGATGTTCTTANATTAATTAGTAAAATACCACTGTATTACTTGATTTTGGATTTGTTCTCCACTTATGTCGTTAACAGCATATGGTATCGGCGGCTCAATGTCTAGATCGTCGAGATGTATTTCATCAGTAGGAATTCCCCATCTCATTGCCATATTATGCAGAACGCAACAAGCATNGACAATGAGAGCTGTATAGAAAATATTTCACCGACATATACACATTGCAATAAGTAATAAAATAGCAACTATGTTATAAAATAGAACAATACAAGAAAACCTGTATACTAATAACAGAAATTAAAAAGTGAGATTACCAGCAAACTGTGGAGAATAATGTAAAGCTCGTTCTTTACGTAAGCAACGCCAGCGACCTTTTAAAATACCAAAACATTGCTCTATAGCTACACGAGTTTGTGTATGGTGATCTGTATATCTTGCGCCTGGAGTTCTTTCTTCTTGATTTAATTTTGGTGTTAACAAAAAAGGTAAAAGAGGATATGCAGAATCACCTAAAACAATCCAATAAAAACAGTACAATATTATTTTTTAACCACAGCTGCCAAGTTTTTAAGTAGATACTGAATTGAAAAAGAAAATTATAAATAAAAAAATTACAAACTGTTAAAGACGAGTAGTAAAATATAAATGCGATTGTTTCTCTGTATCAATATTATTAATGAACAATACACTTATTTACCTAGAAGCCAGGAATCTGTCTCACCCTCTCTGTGTCTCCGTTGTAAATGAGCAAATATTCTCGATGATCGTAATACTCGAGAATCATGTGTTCGGCCACCGTGAGCACTATTTACAGCGAGAATTTCGCACTTAGAATCGCAAATCTGTGAAATCATACTAACTAGTTAATAATTTATTATTACTATAGTATTATATTTATATGTATTTCAGCATACTTATATACTTACAACTAACACATTTAATGAATGGTACAATTTTCTATTAATAAATAAATATTCCCTCTCAACTTCGGGTGGAAAAATGGCGACATGTGTTCCATCAATTGCTCCAATTACTCCTGGAAAACCACCTTTTAGAAAAAATCTGAAAGAAAAGTTATTTTAGAATATTCTACTTTCTAATCCTTAAAAGCCAATCACTTAAAACTTATATTAAATGTTATATAATATAAAATAAAATAAATAATAGTAAAGTTATAATATATGAAGACCTATAAGTATAAGTTAATATTTAATCAATCTGCATTATAGATACATACAAACACACATACATAATAAAATTATTAATTATTACCCTTGTTTGATTTCTTGAATTCTGTCAGCAGTTACTGGAAAGCGAATCCAATTGTCCATCACACAATTCAGTGCATTGACAGTCGTATGAATAGAACGACTGAATGATGTTTGAGACATACATGTTAAAAAATCTTGGCCAATTCTTCTTTGATAAGATCCAGATGCAAAGAAGCTTAATGATGCCAATATCTAAATAAAATAGAATAAGGTTAAAAATATTGTTAAAAATTTAATGACACTACATACATAGAAAATTCTAAATATATTGTACTTGTAATTCATAAGATATTGCAGTTTTTCGTAATTTCTGCGGCATATATGGAACCAATTCGTCAATCAATGTACGACTTACATCTTTTGTCAGTCTAAAACATAAAAAGCAAGTAATCATGTGTTGCAATATAAAGCTTTTGTCACTACTAAGAACTGTAAATACAAAAATTTACCTATATAGTTTTCGAAATTCGTTATCAGAAATCGAAAAAGGATCTGATGCATCTCTGAGTAGTCTACGTGTAACACTCATAACTCGATTATGTTCAAAATCATCATCCTCTTCGTCACGAAATAATAAAATTGCTCCCATGTATATTGCCATTTCTGCTGTTAACGGACTTTCGGGAATATGTGCGAAACGATGACACTTAACCTTACAATTATAAACCGTCACAAAAACGCGTCACGCAACATTGTCTACTTTCTCTGTCTATCCTCAGTCCTTCTCTCTCTGATTTCACCAATCGACAAGAAATTTCTTGCCGTACGAACTCCCGTGAAATGGCTCGCATTTTCACTATGGTAAAAGTTACGGAATCACACTAAGTCACATTTTCACTACAGATTAGATACAGAATCGACCCCCAGGAAGTTGCTTAAAAACTCGTAAAGTCGTCTAATTGGTCAAAACGGTTTTTTGTTAGTTCTAGTTCTCTGGACTTCCACGAGTCACGTCCACTGTTTCTTTCTTCAAAATTCGTCCAGGAAGTCGGTCAAAGTAAGTAAAAACATCTGATTGGCTGATCGCCTGGTGACAAACAACCTGATTGGCTAAAGTGCAAAAACTTGCCGTACTAATTGACAAAGTACGGAGCAACTACGCTAAGTTAACCTTCTCTTGAAATTCATGTTTTAACCATAGAGCTTATAGATATGGAGTGGGAATAGCGGCAACGAGCTGTGAGCAAGATCTGAGAGACAGAAGATATACTTCTGTTTACACCGCTCCAACATGAAAAATCTATCCGTACACCGAGTAGAGTACGTATCCGTGGATGACGGTGTCGATAACCAACTTGGCTAGTCGGAAGATGAGTATTATTGCTAGGACGCCAGCGCTTGCTGACCCAAAAGTCATAAAGTCTTCCCAATGTCTATGCCCAGCGTTTTCGGCGATGTGATTCAACAAATCTTTGTCCAGTAAATTCAAGATTGAGACACTATCTGGAGGACAGATTGTCCCATTGCTCCGCGTGCAAGTGTGTTCACCATTGACGGCTTCTCGACCGGGAACATAATGTAGTTTCTTACTCGATCAAGGGCACTTGTTGGGTATATTTCGCTGGTGGCCAATGACGAGGGGCTCACGTACTTTCACGTAGGCCGTGTCAATAGTTGTATAACGGTGGTAACGATTCCACTGGTTTTGGTGTCAAGCGGAACCATGTCCCGTGAATGTCGTACATTGGAGGTAAGAGTTTGCTGTAGGTTTTACGAGGATTTGTGACTTTGGTAGCAGGAATAGCGATCCATTTCGGTAATACACCGGTAGTTCATTGTAGCATCCGTTCTCATGTCGCATGCGACATTCTACTGGGATGCATTTTAGTAACCCTTAGCGCTTCGTTGGCTCCGCTACGGAGCCATCCGTCATTTGTTCCGTAACTCCGTAGGCTCCGCTGCGGAGCCATGTTTTTAGCATGATTACGCTTAAGATGCTACGGAATCATCGGCGTTGGCAATTGTTATTTACAAAATTGTTATTTACAAACAGAAAGTGCATATGTATAAAATAAATAAAATCAAAACTATTCACAAGCACGTGTAATTTTTCTCACTTAAAATAAGACTTCTTCTCACTCGTCCCGCTCCAAAAATGTGCCAGAGTTGCTGGTAGACAGTGGTACAAAAACGTGCGGAGCGCTAAAAGTTAACTGTATCACTTCTCCGGAAGTAACTGCTGTATATCCGGGTGACTTTATTATACGATATGCCATTTCATCGGGGGCGACGTTCGAGAGTGAAAACGCGTTTTGAAGTATTTACCTTTCCAAAGCGCACTTTTATTCCATTATATCTCGATATAGAGCGTTAGCTGAGTTTTTGTGTTTTTCTACATAGATAAATTTTAAATTTACATACGAGAAAATGTCTAAGTTGTCGACTGCTGTTTTAGTCCGTGTTTTAAAGCTTCTTCCTAAGGTAAATTTCCAAGATGAATAATTTTGGATGTTCGGTTTGTGCAAGTTTGTAACCGCAAACGTTCACCTCGGCTGTTTTGGAAAGAGCGAACGTGGTGTCTTTAGTCGTGACGGTAAAAATTGTCGGCGCTTCTTGTGCCGGTTTTGAAGTTAATCTTGTGGCAAGGCTCTTGTACAAGATGTCGTACCGGTCAAAGTGACAGCTGTCCACCGGTGTCCAAGGTGTGAAAGGTGTCCAAAAGGTTTCACTCCCGTCTACGTCCAGGCAATATTCTTTTGATACTGCGCAATGGGTTCCGGAGAGGAGAATCACCTGATTAGTTGTTCTTTGCACCGTCGAGCGCTCGTACCGTGATTTTAACAGAGGCTTGTACTACACCGTTCTTCTAGGTTCTGTAGGCGTCACTATACTGTGTGCCTTTGCACCGTCCATCTACGGATGTGGTACCGGTTAAAATGACTCCTCTTGTGTTGGTTTGGTTCTTCTGGATGCCAGTAATGATGGCGTTACCTAAGGTAATGGATCCTGTGGCCTGTAGATTTTGACAACCACTGGAACCGATCTCCTATATGTACTCTTTTTGCCTGTTCTCTACTATGCTCGTGTGTGAATGCATTCAGCAATAGAAGATGGTGCGGTCAATCTCAATGAAGCACTGAGTTGCCTGGGTTGTGTCAAAATCCGATAACTGCATCAACTGCAAGTAAGTCTTCTGTTTTTCAGGCTCAATGTCGTCAAGCTCGCACGTTCCGATGACGGAGAGTGATAGCGTAGTAATATTCAGTCCGTGTCTTTTGCAGTCGTAGCCTACGAGAGTTGTTGCTACGTAAACCGTAAAGGCAATGATGAATATTGTTGCCAGCAAGTACATCTTAGTCTCGAGAAGTTTCGTTTAGTAATGGCAGCTTTTGCCCGTTGCTGCTGCTTTTTTCCTCGTGAGGTGAGGTGTGTTGGTGGTGGGTTGTCGTCCATTTTATTCATACGGTCTGTTTACATGGAAGAAGCCAGCCCCCAAACCCCCGCCTCGGCTAAGTCCGGTGGCATCAAAGGAGGAAAACGACCGACCAAACCGGGAGCGGGTGCGGCCAAGGCCACCCATCCCAAGCTGAAGCTGGGGAGGCCACCCCGCTCCGCGGCGGTGGTGCTCTCAGTCCCGGAGGAAGCAGCGGAAGGCTTCTTGGCGGAGTTCTTGAAATACGTCCGAGAGAGGGTGTCTCTCGAGTCCCTCGGTATTCAAAGCCTCCGCCCAAGACGAGCACTTACCAGGGCCATAATCCTAGAGGTCCCCGGTGAGAATAGCAACACCAAGGCGGAGGTGTTGTACAACGTGTTACGTCCGCGCCACATTTTTGACTTATAATTTTTCGTAAGGTAACGCATGCGCATACATATACATGTATTCCATATCTTGTAAGTTGCGGCACGTCGTACGTGCATAATATAGTATAAGTTAAGGTTAGCAAGTCATACATATACGTAATTCCGTCAGATCCAAATTGACCAATCACAGCGATCCTTCCGGACAACTTTCCCTTAGATCCATTCTGCCGCACACGCATGAACGCGGCCTAACTTTCAAACCACGCATAAGCTTCATCCCTACCCGGACGACTTCGCCTTCGGATCCCACTCTCGGGCAAACAGCCCNTTCCACTGCCTCTCCTAGCGAGCTGGCCCTTCTCTCTCATTCCG